ATGGACTTCCAAGTGAAGAACCGTACAAGTATTTGGATGAGTTTCTTGAAATGTGTTCCACCGTGAAATATGCGGACATGCCATAAGAAGTGTTAAGACTCAAACTTTTTCCGTTTACCCTTAAGGACAAAGCAAAATATTAGTTCAACAATCTTAGGCCTTTTTCGATAACTTCTTGGGCAGAAATGCAACAAGAGTTCTTGAAGAAGTACTATCTGGTATCAAAGACCAATGCTATGAGAACTTCCATTCATGAATTTTCTCAAGGGGAAGGGGAAATGTTTCATAAGGCATGGGAAAGGTTTAATGACTTGCTTAGGAAGTGTCCACGTCATGAGATACCTTAGTGGCAACTAGTTCAATATTTCTTTGAAAGTTTACCGGATAATCACAAGGGTATGGTTGATGCATCTATGGGTGGTTCTTACCTCGATAAACATGAGAATGATGTTTAGCAATTGTATGAAAGTATGAGTGAGAATTCCATGCATAGATCTTTGTCCTCCAAAAATGGTAGAATTCTAGGTGAAAGGAAGAATGTCAGCTTATATCAAGTTGACAATTCAAATGACATAGCCGCCGAGGTGAAATCCTTAACTCAAAGGTTTGATTAATTTTTGGTTAACCACAATTCGGTAAATCAAATGTCATCCTCCCCTAATCATGTTCATCATCATGCATCTAATGAATCTTATATGGCTTATTCTAGTGTCTTACATACTACTTCCAATTGTCCCTATGGACATGCGCAAAGTGAGCATCATTAACAAGTTAATGCTACATTTGTCAACCAAGGGAATAATCCTTCTGGCTCACACTACAATCCAGGATGGAGGAACCATCCAAACTTCTCTTGGAAAATCCAAGGGGAAGGCTCAAACTGTGACGAACCAAGTTTTGTAAACCCGGTGCGTCAGTGATGACCAAAAGATGACCCGATAACGGATCCGAAATGCGGAAGCGAAAGGTGAAACAATGGTCTCTAGAGATAGAATGCGTCTTTAAGACACTAATGTGACTCTCAATGAGGTCATGGAACCCAAAGGAAAACAAATACGGAAGTGTCGTTTCAAAAATGGACAAAAAGGAACCTAGGGGCAAAATGGTCATTTTGCAAAAAAATGGATTTAAGTGCTATTGGGCACACCACTGGGAAGACAATGAAAAACTAATCATGATGGACTCAAGAATTTCATTATTCGGATTCCGGACGAAGGAGAAACGACAAAACAAAGAAAAACGAGTAATAAAGCTAAAAGGGTAAACTGGTAGTTTTTCAGAAATATCTGGGTGCAACCGAGCACACAGTTGGATAGACAATAAAAAAATTAATCAATTTCAAAAAAAAAATTCACTTGATTTGGAGTCCGGATGAGGGAGAAAGGTCAAAAACAAAATCGACGTCGCGGCGGCCCGACGAAGGCCGTGACAGCTACAGTGCCGTCAACCCACTACTGCTGCAACTGAAAGTAAAAACGGGTATCTAAACGGACTTTTCTGGAAAAACTTAAAGAAGAAAGCCCCCCTAAAATCAAGTTTGCTACCCCAATTGAGGACGGAAATAAAAAAATAAAAAATAAAAAAAAAAAATGCATTCTAAAATGCCCAGAATGCCCCCAAGAAAAATCAGGTCAAGAAGAAAAAAATAATCCGAGCTACTGCCCAAGTTTTGGAAATAGGGCTTCGGGAGGTTTTAAAATTTCCTAAATTGAAAATACAATCTTAAAATACACCCACAAGACCTCTGGAAGTTTCAAATCGGTCGTGACGATTTTCAAAAAAAAGTCGATGAATAGTACCAACTACATTTGTACTAAAAATTTGCAAAACCTGGCAGCAAGGATTTTTCTGAAAAATATTGATTTTTGAGGGCCAAGATGATGTTTTCTGGAAAAATATAAAGAAGAAACCCCCCTCAAAATTGAGTTTTCTACGTGACTTACGAGGAAAAATGAAAAAAACGCACTGTAAAATACCCGAAATGCCCCTAAAACAGAATAGGGTAAAACTCCCTAAAAATGCTACTTAGAGTTTTTGTTTCATCAATGAAGGTATTGTTTGCCAAAGTGAGTATGCAAGTACATGCAATATGATAAAATAGATGCACCAACATGGCCTAAAGCCTCTTTACATTCCATTAGCAAGTTTTAGCATACAAAGCCTCCATTTCTCACAAATAAGCTGCAATGGCAATACTTGAGTTTTAAAGACTTGTAGTCTTTCATGTTAATGGCTCTTGGCCTCATCTCATACATGTCAAAAAAATTGTAAAGAGTGTATGTACATACACATTACATTAATGGAATCAAATATACACATTTTGACATATAAAGCTATAAAGGCATTTCAAGCCAATCTTCACAAAATGGAAATCTTCAAGTCCACAAGTCATCCAAGCATAATGGGAGTCTCAACTTCAATTCTTGTATCTGAAATATGCCCCAGTATCGTAGGGGTGAGTAACATAAAGCTACTCGTAGGAAATGAGCATGCATCGACCTAGCATTTTACAATTATATCACCTTATGGTGAAACATGTTAAAGGGGCTCATGCTACCCAACGTCTATATCAAGTGAGACTCGGGGAATATCCTAAGCTACCCATGCAAGCTAAAGCGAACAACGGCATCCAAGTATACATGCTCAAGTACACTAAACCATATTAAAACATGATACATGATATACAAGCATACATTTCCAAGTATACTAACCATGTTAAGACAAGTCACACAATGTCTAAGCATATTACCCAAGTATACATTTTATATGAAAATCTCATAAATCAAGTATATGAATATAAGCATATTAAGCTCAACAAAATGCACATAAGACAAGTATACATGTCACAAGTATACTAAATGAAAGTCAAACTCACGGAGCAAGTATACAAGTTCAAGTATACTAAATAGTATTCAATTGTCCCAAACAAGCATCAATTCTCAAGCTACAAGTAATCCATGATTAACAACTTGAAATTAAATGCAAAAACAACAAATAGTGGAAAGACTAGGACATGCGGTCGCTAGACCAAGCAAGTATTTTCGGGTAATTACGACCCACAAGGTACTACTTAGTGCGCACTTATGACTTAGAAGACACTTGTCTCCATACTAGAGCCAAACCCTAGCCATCACATAATATATGTCCTCACAAGCTTTCCAAAACCAATAAGTTCAAAACTTATACAAAATCAAATGCAAGTTACCACATTACATGCACAAGTAAGGTTGATTCCACATAAACCATGTCCTAGAATTCAAGTCTAAATAGCATATGAGATGTCAAGTCCTCAATATGCAATTTATACATAAAGCAAGAATATTTTACAACAATTGAGTCACATTACCATCCTAAGCCACAAGTACTAAATAAGCTTCAAATTAGTAGCATGCTCACAAGGTAATTAGAATACTATATTTTAAGAGATTTTCAACCTAATCATGGAAAGTTTCTAGATTTCAAATCTATCCCAAACAACCTCAAATTAATTTATGTTAAACAATATAGCATGCTCAATACATATATTAAATCAAAAGAGCAAAATAAGCAAGACATCATCATGTAGATTTTAATTAATTCAATTTTAAATAAATCTCTAGATTTCAAAAGTTGTTCAAATGATCCTAAATTAATATATAACAAGCACCAAATCATGGTCATACCATATCTCTAGTCTAAAATGGAATACAAGTAAAATACAATTTACTAGAATTTAAATTAAATTAAATCCATTAAATCTTTAGATTTGAAAACTCATCCAAATCATCCCAAGTCAATATATATCAAAGATCAACTCATGGCCATGCCATTTAACAATTTTAAAATGAGTTACATGCAAGCTATGATAAATCATAATTTCTCAAATTAGCAAAAGACATGCATACAACTCATATAAGCATCAATAACATGCAAGAAACAAAATATAACCCTAAAACATCCCCTACCTCACAAGAGGATTGTTCCTCTTGAATCCAAGGCAAATCAACACAAAATGGCAAACCCTTCAAGGGTTATGAAGAGGAAGATGAGAGGAAACTTTTGTCTCCCAAGGTTAATGATCTAAGGTGAGTGGAAGACCCTCAAAAATCAAGGTCAAGGCTTAAGGCTTCAAGCTCCATCCATGGAGGCTAGGGTTTTTGGTGAGAAAGGAAATGAAAACAATGAATGAAGTGTGAGTGGAGGAAATAGAAATCCTCCACTCACTATGTGATCTTACACCATGGTCAACACACACATCTATAGTCAATTGCAAACCATAATCCCAAAGTGGCCCAAAGATATTTGCAAGACTAAATTGTGGCCCTACACTTGTCACCAATCCATGGCTCCTTCCTAGGCTTTATCCCACACCTACACTTGTCGACCATCCAAGCCAACAAGTGCACCAATCCTAGGCCAACAAGTGGGTGAATCCTCACCCTCTAAATGTCATCATCCAATGCATCAAAGTGTTTCCTGTAACGACCTGGATTTCTCAACCCGGTGCGTTAGTGATGAACCAGAAGTTGACCCGATAACGGACCCAAAATACGGAAGCGAAAGAAGCCAAATGACCTCAAGAGATGTACGTCATCCCTAAGGCCCCAAAATGACTCTCCATGAAGTCACGGAACTCAAATGAGCCAAGAAAATGAAGCAAGAATGCCTAACCCGAAAAGAGATGAACTAAGGGCAAAATGGTCATTTCTCACTGAAAAGGGTGCCACCGTGCACACCATTGGAAGGACAACGAAAAATGAACAAAATTAGACTCAAGAATCTTCTGATTCTGAGTCCGGGCAGAAAAGATATGAAATTCCAACACCCGATGCGAAAGTTATGAAGCAATGACTTAACATTTTCCAATATTTTCATAATAAACTTTGAAAACAAAAGTGCATAGAAAACGAGATACATGTCATTGGCCTCCGGCCTCATCTCATACATGTTAAATACATTGAAAAGATTGCACTTATGTACACTTTACATATACGAATCAACAAGTTTAAACAAATAGGGCTACAAAGAGGCATCTTATGCTAACACTTGCATAAAATAGAAACTTAGAAACTGTAAGCCATCCAAGGAGCAATGGAATCTTCAAATCCTGAGTCCTGTACCTGAAATATGCCCAGTATCGTAGGGGTGAGTAACATAAAGCTACTCGTAGGAGATGAGCATGCATCGACCTAGCATTTTACAATTTTATCACCTTATGGTGAAACATGTTAAAGGGGCTCATGCCACCTAACATCTATGTCAAGATGAGACCCAGGGAGCATCCTAAGCTACCTAGATCATTTACATCATAATCACATTGTTCATGCAATTCAAACAACATGGAAACATGTTATACAAGGCAACAAGATATAGATTCTCAAAGTCTTCAACTTGAAATCCAAAATACGAAAACAACAAGTGTGGGTCATGCCACCTAACGTCTATGTTAAAAAGGAATCTATAAGGTCATTCCTAAACTACATTTGAACATCAAAACACAAATTATGATATCGATGCAATTTAACCAACAATGGAACTTCCAATACAACGCATGAAGCATGCTTTCACAAAGCTACATCTTAAGCTCAAAATAGGAAATCAAATAAGGAACAACAAGTTACGATATCATCTAGTTATCAACTTGAAATGAAATACGAAATCAAACAAAGTGGATACTCGGACGTCACGTCGGATCAGACCGACAACATAGTTACTTTAGGGTTACTAGCCCATGGTTAACCTCCCTATGTGCGCACTAGACTATATAGAGGGACAATCCCCCGTACTAGAACCAAGTCCTAGCCGTAGCCAAACAACAACATCCCCAAGTTTCCAAAATCAACAAATTGTGCAACAACGTATATATATCTACATATATATACAAGATATCAACTATTTACCAAGTACAATCCAAATTTTGAAAACTTGTACAATACATGCTCAAAATTCACAACTTTTATGGCATGTAAGATGTCAAATACAAAGTGTGCAATTCCTTACACATAGCAACAATATATTCAATAAGGAAAAACATATTCTCATGAATATAAAAGTAACAACTATATTATCCAATGCTCAAAAGTAATCAAGTGAACATACATCAAATCCAAATTCATGATTTAAATATAGAAACAACTTCCAAAATGCAATTAAATCCATGGAGTAATAAAGTAGAATTTAATTAAACATAAATAGTTAAATTCTCTAAATTCCAAGTTAATCCAAATTACCTCAATTTAATATATATTGAAAGACATGTCATGGTCATCATATATATAACATCAAATGACAAGTTAAGTGATTAAAACACTTAAAACAAAATTAATCAAGCTAATTAATTAATTTCCTCTAGATTTTTAAACAATTCCAAATGCCCTCAATTTAATCTATGTTAGAGAACATGCCAAAGCCTATTTAAATACCACATTAAAACTTGATTTAATACTTGATACAACCATGTGAATTAAACTTTCACTAAAGATAAATATTAAATAAAAGTTGTAATTCTTAATCAAATGATCCAAATTTAATATATGTTAACCAACATATCTAAGCATAATTTCCTAGCATGTTACAATTCAAATCAAGGTTATATATCATCATAAATTTTAAATCTTATACAAAGAAATAAAAATTACTAACTTTCTAGATTTGATACAAGGCATATATATATGTTGTATAATCATGGCAAACACACAATACAATACACAAATAATCCTAAAACATTCCCTACCTCAATTGGAATGAAAATCCCAATTACCACCGAAATGAAATCGCCCCAAATTTTTGGTCCGCAAAACAGATTTTTCAGCTTGCTACCTTCAACTTGTAAAATTCATAAAAAATTCAATTCTAACCCAAATTGAATGAATCCAAAGCCCAATGAAAGCTTAAACACTGTAATTTGATAATATCAATTTAGTTTAACAAAATATTTTCCCAATTGAAATAGTTTTTCCCCACAACTTTGAAACAAATTCTACCCAGAAAACACATTTTCAGCCTGTAGCTTCCAACTTTGAAAATTCATGAAAAATTCATTTGACATCCAAATTGGGCAAACCTAATTTATTTTGGAAGTAAACATATGAGAGTATAAAATTGGAAATTTAACCCATGATCTAATGTCAAAAGGTTAGTGAAATAAATCATCTAAAAATATGTGTTCCAACTGCAATAAAAACATGAACAGCAGATAGTTTCGGATTTTTAAAAAAATTTAGAAATGCTCTAAAATCGTAAAAAAATTCTGAGTAGTGTAAATCCTATGGGGAAAGTTCCAGTAAAAATTTCAAGGTAATTCAAGCATTACAGCTCTATATAAAAAATTCATTTCAGGACTGAAAGGGAAAAACTTCAAATTTCCAGCAACTAGCTTGCAATTTCAAAAATTCATAACTAATTCATTTTAAATCCAAATTACATGAAACTAAAACTAAATGAAAGTTAATTGAGTATATTTTCATATTCTATATTTAATTTGACAAGATTAATTTCAAGTTAAAACAATTTAAGGGCAAAATACAAATCTTTCTCTTCCATGCATGTAAAATACTCAATAATGACATAAAAATACTTCAAAATAGTAGATCAATACCTCACTAGAGAATTGAATCTCTAGATACCAAAGAAAAACTAGAAGTTAGGCTAGATCCTTCAAGGGTTTTGAAGAGGAGGATGAGGAAAAACAAAAAGTATTCCAAGCTTTATGATCTAAAGTAAGTGAAAGGGCCTCAAAGATTAAGGTCAATGCCTAAGGCTTCAAGCTCCATCCATGGAGGCTAGGGTTTTCTTGTAAGGAAGATAATGAAATAATGTGGTTAAGTGTGAGTGGAGGAAATAGAAATCATCCACTCACTATGTGCTCTTACACCATGGTTAACACACACATCTATGGTCAATTGCACAAAAACCCTCCTTTAAAACCATAATCCCAAAGTGGCCCAAAAATATTTGCAAGATTAAATTGTGAACCTACACTTGTCACCAATCCATGGCTCCTTCCTAGGCTTAATCCCACACCTACACTTGTCAACCATCCAAGCCAACAAGTGCACCAATCCTAGGCCAACAAGTGGGTGAATCCTCACCCTCCAAATGTCATCATCCAATGCATTAAAGTGTTTCCACACAAATGTCAACAAGTGGACCAATGAGAGTGTGACACTTGTCACACTTTTCAAAAATTACAAAAAGGTCCTTTTTGAAAATATCTTCCAAATTTAATTACAAAATGGTCCCCAAGATGAAAAATAATTACTTTATTTAATTACATTAAAACTCCACAAGTTAAGAATAATTACACTAAAGTATGCATTAATGCCCCTTTATGAAAGAAGTAAGCAATCAACATGCTTTTCTAGAAAAGTAAAAATACCACTATCATGGAAGTCAAATATCATGAATGCATGCAAAACCGGAATCAAATTCGAGCACAAAAAGTGAGGTTGTGCAGGGAAAAAGGATAAACGAGAAAAAGACAAAATGTGAATAGTGTTCGGGAAAATAAAATATGGAAATGACACAATCCCTAAAGGAAGTTGTCAATTCAAGGAAAAGAGTCTCAGAAATCATTCCAGAGCACTCGAGACGACATCAAGTGATGAAAAACCAAACCCAAAAAGGAAAAGACAATGGAAAAAAAATATCCGTTAAAATCTGAGAAAAAGAAAAGGAAGAAAAATAACCGGGTCATTACATTTCCACACAAATGTCAACAAGTGGACCAATGAGAGTGTGACACTTGTCACACTTTTCAAAAATTATAAAAAGGTCCTTTTTGAAAATATCTTCCAAGTTTAATTGCAAAATGGTCCCCAAAATGAAAAATAATTACTTTATTTAATTACACTAAAACCCCACAAGTTAAGGATAATTACACTACACTATGCATTAATGTCCCTTTATGAAAGAAGTAAGCGATTAATGGGCTTTTCTAGAAAAGTAAAAATACCACTATCATGGAAATCAAATATCATGAAGGCATGCAAAACTGGAATCAAATCCGAGCACAAAAAGTGAGGTTGTGCCAGGAAAAAGGATAAACGAGAAAAAGACAAAATGTGAATAGTGTTTGGAAAAATAAAATATGGAAATGACACAATCTCTAAAGGAGGTTGTCAATCCAAGGAAAAGAGTCTCGGAAATCATTCTAGAGCACTCGAGACGACATCAAGTGATGAAAAACCGAACACAAAAAGAAAAAGGCAACGGGAAAAAAATATCCGTAAAAATCTGAGAAAAAGAAAAGGAAGAAAAATGACCGGGTCATTACACAAACCCTCCCCAAGGTGGTTTTCAAGGCAAGTATGTTCCGCCTCCAATGCAAAGCCAATGTTCCCAACGTTATAGGTCTTCATTTCAATCATCACATGGAAACCAATTTTATAACTCTCATTTTCCTAATCAATCATCTTATTCCCAAGGAAATTCTAGGAGTCCCGCTTTTGAGGAGAAAGTGTTGACCTTTCTAGGCACTTCAGAGGCGAACACTCAATTATTTCATTCTCATTCTCAATCCATTTCTAAGCTAGAAACCCAAGTTGGGCAAATAGCTAGTACTTTGAATGCTAGAGAGAAAGGGAAGATGCCTCTGAATGCACCACCAAAGTAACAATGTGTTGTGGAGACTCATTCCTCATCGGAAGGTCACACAATTGAATATGTCAATACGGTAACGACTTTAAGAAGTGGGAGAATTGTTGATAATCAAGTAAGTATTTCCAATGAAGAGAGTGAACCGGTGCAGCCAAAAGTTGACACCCGTCTTGTTTCACATTTTATTCTCCTTCATTGCATGTACATGATCATTTTATTGAGAAAATTGTGAAAAATGATTTTAAAGATGAATTGAACAATGATTTGAAAAGTGATTTGAAGAATGAGTTGAAAACTTCTTAGGTTGAAAATGATTTTGAAAAAAACTTTGAGCGAAGAGCTCCATTTTCGAACGCCTTGAAAGGGTCCAATTCTATTGAAAAGCAAAAGACCAAGGTGAATGAAATCATCGAAGTGTTTAGGCAAATGAAGATCAATTTTCCACTTTTGGATGCAATTAAGAAAATTCGGGCTTATGCCAAGTTCTTAAAAGATCTTTGCACCCAAAAGAGGAAGAACAAGAGCCAAACACCAAAGAAAGTGGTTTTGATCGAGCAAATATGCTATATCTTGCAACACAACACTCTCCCAAAGTTTAAAGACCCTGGTTCACCTACTACTTCTTGCATCATTGGTGACCATTTCATTAATCGAGCTCTTTTAGACTTAGGAGCAAGTGCTAATCTTTTTCCATACTCGGTATATGTTAAATTGGGCTTATGAGACTTAAAACCGACGTTCGTGGTTTTGTAACTTGCCGACCAATCCATCAAAAATCCCCGGGGTATCATTGAAGATGTATTAATTAAAATTGATAAATTCTTCTTCCTGGTCGATTTCGTTGTCATTGACACGGAACCGGTTCTAAATCCCAAGAGCCAAATTCCCGTTATCCTTGGCCGTCCCTTCTTAGCAACTGCAAATGCCAACATAAATTATAGGACAGGGATAATGAAAATATCATTTGGGCATATGAAAGTGAAGTTGAACATTTTTAATCCAACCCCGAATTCAATGGATAAACATGAAAACGTTTGTGTTGTCGAGAAGTGTGTTGAGAATGAACTTGATAAAGTTAAGTCTTTACTTGATATTGAACATTCCCATGGTTTGTTGACCAATTTGAATTCAGGAAATGTTATTTTAAATCCAAGTGTTCTAAGGGCATGGAAGCCCAAGAGTTGCTTTGATGAAAAACCGTTAATTCTTTTTTATCCAAATCCAACAAGTTCTTTAGAGAACCATTTGTTGGGTGGGAGCCAAAATATTGTTCACCCTATCAAGCAGGGGATGCATAACATGATATTTTATCCAGGCTAAAAGAGCCCAACGTCTTGCTAGAGACGTTAAAGACTAGTGCTTTGTAGGGTTTACAACCCTATTCCTCTATCAATTCTATTTTATCTTTCATTTCTTGCGTCGTCTACATATATTTTGGATTTATACACATTGCTAGGAACTGTAATTGAGAATGCATGCACTTTCATTCTGAAAATAAGCATTTTGTGCCTGTTCGATCGATCTCAAAAGAGGGTCGATCGATCGAACATCCATCCCTACATCCAATCATCTCTCTATTCCATTGTGCGAAGATTTCCTGCATAAATCAGCTCTCTGTGTATGGTGCGAGCTTCATTTCCGATCGATCTGAGTGTTCCAGGATCGATTGAAATTTTCCTCAAATCGATCTTCATTCTATACTTAGAAAAAATTTTAGAACCCATGAAAAAGGCCTCTCTGTGCATCGTTCGAACTTGTCTGCAGGTTTTCACCTGTTGGATCGATCGAAGTCTCTTCCAAATCGATCTTTGATTGATCGATCTGTATTCCTTTGTTGACTTTGACTTTAACTACCCTTTGAATTTTGAAGTTAATATAACAAAAATACAAAAAATATTTTGAATTTTTTTATATTATTTTATTCTCAAAAATTCCAAAAATATTTTTAGTTTTAACAAATTTTTCAAAATCCAAAAATATTTTTCCTTTATTTTATTACATTGTATTTTTTATTTCAAAAATTCTAAAAAGATTTTTATTTGATTCTTACTTTTATTTGATTCTATTTTTCCAAATAAAATTAATAATAATAATAATAAATAAATAAATAAATACTTGTCATTTTGCGAGGTTAGATCGATCTAAGTCCCTTTCAGATCAATCTTTGTTCGATCGATCTGATTTCTTAGTGATCGATCGAACTCATCGGAAACAGTTTTTAAAAATAGAAGCCAAAGGTTATTTGGATCGGTTTCAAAGATCGATCCAAAGCCCTCTTTCTTCTCCATCGAGTTCCCATATTCTCTTCCATCTCCGGCAAGCTTCCGGCGAGTTCCAAGCTCCAAAAACTGCATCGCCGACCACATCTCTTCTCTCTCTTCATTTCTCTCCTCAGATCTCAGTAAGTCCAAACTTCCTTTTTCATTTTTGTGTTGATTCATGCTTTATTTTGTTCCTATGTTTCGATTCGAAGCTTCCAAGGTTGATTTTGTTTCCGTTTTAGAAATTTTGAGCATGCGTATATATATGTATATATCTATATATATCTATTTTTCCTGATTTCGATTTAGGGGGTCACGTGCCTATATAAGTGACTATTTGTGATTTGTTGAAGTGTAGAGGGACCCACAAGCTTGCTTGGGTGCCCTCCGTGTTGTCCACGTCACAGATCTATGACTTTTTGTATTTTTGGAGAGTTCGATCGATCACATTTTTCTCTGATCGATCAGAAAAAGATCGATCTCACTCAATTCCTGATCGATCTAACTTGGATCGATCTCATCTTTTCATGATCGATCGAACATCAGAGATTTGCATATCCACTACACATACCATCTTTTGTGTCCCATGCTATCTTATATTTGCTCAATGCTTATGTGTTCCACATTGGGTGCATTTTATTCTGTCATATTTAGCATGTTTCAGTCATTCACTATCCATGCCTGGTTGCATTACAACTTGCATAGATTCGTGTCAATTATTCTGAGTTGTTTATCTTAGTTGACATATATGTTTCTATATATTGTACTTCAATTCTTTATTCCTGTACTGACTTCTTCTGTAAG